AAGGGCAGTAAATGGTGAATCGTGATGGATGGTCAGATGATGATTCCAGAGTCACGGCCGAGTCTGCCGTTTCCACCACTTCCTCGTCTTGATTGTAGCTTGTAACGGCGTAGAGTGATGAAACGATCTGCAGGGGGAATCAAGAATGAAAATTGTGTGGGGCGAGAATAGGTCAGAAGATTATTCGACAGTAACGGCCGGGTCTGGTGCTGCTGCCTCCACCGCCACCTCGTCGTCTTGATTGTAGCTCGTAACGGCGTAGAGCGATGAAACAATCTGCACATTCTGACGGGAAACACGGGCAGTGCGTGAATCATGATGGCAGGTCAGAAGAAGATCATTCAACACAGTAACTGCCTAGTCTGGACTCTGGTGCTGCTGCCTCCACCACTTGATGGTTGTGATTGAAGCTTTGGGCGCGTAGACTGATGAAGTGATTTGCAACACGGCAGGTCAGAACAGTAGTGAGGTGTGGGTGTGGGTGTGGTGTGGTGGTGGTGTGGGTGTGGGTGTGGTGTGGTGGTGGTGTGAGTGGGGGTGTGGGTGCTGGTGTGGGTGTGGTTGCGGGTGTGGGTGTGGGTGTGGGTGTGGGTGTGGGTGTGGGTGTGGGTGTGGGTGTGGGTGTGAGTTTGGGTGTGAGTGGGTGCACTTTACGAGGATACTAATTCGCACAGTGAGGAACAATGGGGAGGAGATGAGGGGAGACGTGGGGTAAGGGAGGAGGAGGGTGGGAGAGGGGGGAAGAGATTGGGGTGGAGGTGCGGGGAGATGAGGGGAGGTGGGGTTGTGGGGAGATGAGGGGAGGTGGAGGTGTAGGAGAGGGAAGGGGAGGGGAGGGGAGGAGGGAGGGAGGGAGGAGCACGATGCTGAACACCCACAGGTACTCAGCAGGTCCCACTACAATCAGTAAGTTTACACGGGGAAGGAGGGGGGGTGGGTGGGGGTCGGGGGGAGGAGGGGGGAGAATGGGGGGAGGAAGGTGTTATGAGCTTGACGGCAAGAGGAGGGTCTAACGAAGGGAAGACTGGAAACACTGGGACGGGACACACAGCAAGGGAAACGGCACTCACGGCCAGCACGATGCCCAACACCCACAGGTACTCCGCGAGGAGTCTCCAAAGAGAAGGATCAGAAGCACTCACTGCCAGCACGATGCCGAAGTCCCACAGGTACTCCGCCACGAACCCCAGCAGGTCCCACTGCTATTAGGAACCATACCAAAGGGGTCTATACCTGGGGAGGGGAACATAAGCATAAGGGCACTGGATGGGACCCACCCACACAATGGGATTCGGTACTCACAGCCAGCACGATGCCCAACACCCACAGGTACTCCGCGACGAAATGCCTTCTAGTCGCCTCAAAAGTCAGAGAGGGAGTTCGGATTTCAATAGAGAGCCGGAGAAAGGGAATCGGGACTCACAGCCAGCACGATGCCCAACACCCACAGGTACTCCGCCCCTAATCCAAGGAAATCAAATCCCGCTGGGAACCTTCCCAGAAGTCAAGATTGTCTCTGGGCATGAGCAAGCAGTAGTCGCGGCCGGCCACATACAGAGAGGGCTTATGCGAACGAGCACAGTAAGAGGAGAGTAAGGCATATATAGGGGGCAAACCAGGGACTCAAAGTGAGGGACACAAAGAGAGGGCGTCAGTAGTACTCACAGCGAGCACGATGCCCAACACCCACAGGTGTGGGTGTTGGGCCACGAAACCCAGCAGGTCCCACTGGGAACCTTCCCAAAAGTCGGGGTTGTCACCGGCCATGGCCGGGCCGTAGTCGCGGCCGGCTAGCATACATACAGGGAGGGCGTATGCGATCTAGCACCGTGAGATGAGAGTTACGCCTATACAGAGGCCAAGCCAGGGACCCAAAAACTTAAAGAGACGGACGGACCCAAAGAGAAGGATCAGGAGGACTCACCGCCAGCACGATGCCAAACACCCACAGGTACTCCGCCACGAACCCCAGCAGGTCCCACTGGGAACCTTCCCAGAAGTCGGGGTTGTCCCCTTGCATGGCGGGGCGGTAGTCGCGACCAGCTAGCGGGTCGTCCGTTCGGAACACCACGGCTCCTTGGGCCTTCTTCATGCTCGCCCTGCCGCCGGCTGGTGAAGGGGAGATAGACGCACACGAGAAGGGGCTTTTGAGTCAGAAGGCCGGGGTTGTCCCCAGGCATGGGCGGGTGGTAGTCACAACCGGCTAGCGGATCGTCCGTTCGGAACACCACGGCCCCTTGAGCTTTCTTCATGCTCGCCCTGCCGCCGGCTGGTGAAGTGAAGGGAATCAGGGTTAAAGTAACAAGAGCCAAGGCACACAGGGACAGGGGGAGGAAGGGGCGGTGGGAATCGTGGAATCTCTGTCGCTTGACGCAACCGGCTAGCGGATCGTATGTTCGGAACACGACTGCTCCTAGGGCTTTTCTTATGCTCGCCCTGCCGCCAGCTGGTGAGGGGAGTACGCGGGGAGAGGGGCGGGGAGAGGGGCGGGGAGAGGGGCGGGGAGAGGGGTGCAGAGAGGGAAGGCAGACAGACACACTGGATGGGAGAGGACGTTTGATGTGGGAGCAGTGCAGACAGACGCTCCCAAGTCACCGTGCCAGCTGCGCGCGTGGCCTAACTCATGCGGGCTGCTGAGCCAGTTGAGGCATCAGGGATTCATCAGAAGGCCTTTTGAGTTTCTTCAGGGAGGCACCATTAGATGCAAGTTGCCTGATTCAATTGAATAGCGGCTGTCCGTTCTAACACACACCAGGGTTTCCTGGACATTGGAGCCTTTTTAGTCCGCTCAAAACGGCACACCACACCACTCAACGTTAATTTGCCCGTTCTGACACACCAAGGTTTATGCAGATTTCGAAGTCAAAACGACACACCACACCACTCAAACGTTAAACGTATGCGTAATGAGAGGGAGAATTCAATTGATCGACCTCATTCGAAAAGTCCCACTGGTTGTATGCATAAGGAGCCGGCTCTTACGATCTAACCAGCAGATTGTCCATCGTAAAAGCGCGGGAGCTGCTGGAAGCTTCGCGGTAATCACTTTTGACCTAAGGCGAATATATGAAATGTCATGTACTACCCACAGGAGAGGGAGAATGTCGCTTTAGAGTCTCTGAAAGCGACGAATCCTATTCGTAACGATCAGTTGTAAAGATTCGCAGGTGCCAACTGGCCGTACGACGTGAGGCCACATAACGAGGCGACCCTTACAACTTCCTAACTAGCTCCCTCGATTTCGTCGCAGAAGTCGAAATCAGTGATCCGCATGTAAGCGCAGACTTGTAAAAACGAGTACAAAACGACGCCGTTCTTTCTTAATTCCTTCAATCGTCCAAACACCCAGCATGTTTGCACAGGCTGGGTATTGAGCACACGCGTCACTCGAATGCACTCCTTCAAAAACTCTCCTGCAAACACTCAAGTTCGAACCGTTGAACACCAAAGCCATTGACCCCTGGGAGCCGTTGACCCTAATAGCCGTTTACCCTGCGAGCCGTTGACCCTAGTAGCCGTTGACCCTGCGAGCCGTTGACCCTGAAAACCAATGACCCCCCCAGGAGCTACTGACTCCAAGAAAAGGAAAGCTGTCCGATCTACAGAATGCAGATGAGCCGCTGCATGATAGACACGTGGACTATCACTCCGAAACCGTGACATGTCACATTGCAATGAGGTGTCCTTGGGTGGATCCAAACGTAAAAAACGCGAATGCGCAACCCCTCCACGAATACACCGACTCGAAACTAGACTAGCGTCGACCACTTACGGCGGGATTGCGATGCGAGCACTCTAGCGGTTGAGCCGACGGTCACATCCAAGCCGTTGACTCGCATCAGCGTCGCCCTGTCCGATCTACAAAACGACGACGAGCCGCTGCCTGATAGACAGACGGACGGCACAGATGCTCTCGATAGGCAGACAGCTTGCGAAGCCATGGCGAAAGAGTTCGGAACCGAAGTCCGAAATGAGAACCGAAAATAGAAGAGTATTTGGCTTCTAGGGCTGGACTTCTAGGGAGCGAAAGAAGCACTGATTCTTGCAGCACTGCTGAAGGAAATGCTGTGAGTGAGCAGAGAGCGAAGGAGGATGTTTGCTTTTTGTTAGAAACCCTACTAAACCGATTATAACGTAGTGTGAACCGCTTTCGAATGCGTAAAACTCCTAGACCTCTATCGAAGAACCGAGACAACTAGTGGTAGGAGGGGAGTGAAGAAAGAGGGGACAAAGAATTGGTGCTACTGAGTAACGACGCGAACTGCGCAAAGCATAACCAGTGAGGGGACTGCCGGCTGGGAGGAGAAGTTGCGAATGACGAAAGGTGACTAGGCGAAGTCAGCTTTTCGTCTCTCAAGGGGCAATCACGATAGCCAATCAGAGAAACAGCCACTCGGAGGTGTCCAGTCAGCAACCAAGTACACGTGGGAGCACCATGATCATTGTGCCACTGCCAGCACTGATTCTGTGCCCGGTATAGCTTGGTCAGTATAATACAAACAACCTAAATGATCAAACCTAGCACATGCAAACAATCTAAATGATCAAACATATGCCATTTATATACACATACAATGTAATCCATGCTGATGAAACGCAAGTCCTTGGTATGCCCAATGCTTGCTTTGGGAAAACGCCTTGCCGCGTTTATGATGACAACGCAAAGTGAAAGGTATCACATGTGACCTTCCGAGTCTACTGTGTCACTCTTCTAGAGCGAGAGGGAGGGGAGACGGCTCGAGGAGCGAGGATGGGAGGGAGAGGAGGAGAGGGTTCTCTTGCAATTGATGGGTCCATTGGTGGGAGAGGAGGGCCGGTGGATGATGATGAAGCACTTGGAACAGTCGCGAAGAGTGCTGATGGTGTGAACACAGATGATTGGGCGAGAGCTGGGAGGGGGGCGATGGAAGGAGGGTGTGGAAGTAGGGGTCGTGAGAGCAGAGGCGAGGAGGAGCGATGTGGAGGGGAAAGGGCAACGGGGAGAGAACTGGGAGTGAAATTTAGAAGCGAAATGTATGGGAAGGGGCAATGGGAGAAAGAACTGAAGAAAGAAGCTGCACTGATGGGTTGACAAGGGCGAAAGGAGAGCAAATCAGGCATCCACCACAAAGCATTTTCAGAAAGACGAATTGAGTTGAAGCGCAAATCCTATTAAATGCGAGCGAGGGTGTGGGGCGTGCATGTGAGGTGTGGGGCGTGCATGTGAGATGTGGGGCGTGCATGTAGGTGTGGGGCGTGCATGTGAGATGTGGGGCGTGCATGTAGGTGTGGGGCGTGCATGTGAGATGTGGGGTGTGCATGTGAGATGTGGGGCGTGCATGTGAGATGTGGGGCGTGCATGTGAGATGTGGGACGTGCATGTGAGATGTGGGACGTGCATGTGAGATGTGGGGCGTGCATGTAGGTGTGGGGCGTGCATGTGAGATGTGGGGCGTGCATGTAGGTGTGGGGCGTGCATGTGAGATGTGGGGCGTGCATGTAGGTGTGGGGCGTGCATGTGAGATGTGGGGCGTGCATGTGAGATGTGGGGCGTGCATGTGAGATGTGGGGCGTGCATGTGAGATGTGGGACGTGCATGTGAGATGTGGGACGTGCATGTGAGATGTGGGGCGTGCATGTAGGTGTGGGGCGTGCATGTGAGATGTGGGGCGTGCATGTGAGATGTGAGACGTGCATGTGAGATGTGGGGCGTGCATGTGAGATGTGGGGCATGCATGTGAGATGTGGGACGTGCATGTGAGATGTGGGGCGTGCATGTAGGTGTGGGGCGTGCATGTGAGATGTGGGGCGTGCATGTAGGTGTGGGGCGTGCATGTGAGATGTGGGGCGTGCATGTAGGTGTGGGGCGTGCATGTGAGATGTGGGGCGTGCATGTAGGTGTGGGGCGTGCATGTGAGATGTGAGGCGTGCATGTGAGATGTGGGGCGTGCATGTGAGATGTGGGGCGTGCATGTGAGATGTGGGACGTGCATGTGAGATGTGGGACGTGCATGTGAGATGTGGGGCGTGCATGTAGGTGTGGGGCGTGCATGTGAGATGTGGGGCGTGCATGTGAGATGTGAGACGTGCATGTGAGATGTGGGGCGTGCATGTGAGATGTGGGGCATGCATGTGAGATGTGGGACGTGCATGTGAGATGTGGGGCGTGCATGTAGGTATGGGGCGTGCATGTGAGATGTGGGGCGTGCATGTGAGATGTGGGGCGTGCATGTGAGATGTGGGGCATGCATGTGAGATGTGGGACGTGCATGTGAGATGTGGGGCGTGCATGTGAGATGTGGGAGTGCATGTGAGATGTGGGCGTGCATGTGAGATGTGGGCGTGCATGTGAGATGTGGGGCGTGCATGTGAGATGTGGGCGTGCATGTGAGATGTGGGAGTGCATGTGAGATGTGGGCGTGCATGTGAGATGTGGGCGTGCATGTGAGAGAGATGTGGGGCATACAAGCAAGGGATGGTAGCAGAGGCAAGCCATGATGGTGTTGCTGCTGGTGGCTCTGTTGTTGTTGTTGTTGCTGCTGCTGCTGCTGCTGCTGTTCTTGCTGGGCGGCATGATTTGTCTGATCTGATTGTTGTTCCCTGCGTACGCTGCGAAAGCGGAGGTCCCTCTTCATGGTTTCGATGCGAGTCTGAAGGGAGCGGATCAGGAGAGCAACTGGGGCATGTTGGCATGAGTACAAAGCACAGCATGTGAGGGTATGTGGAGGTATGTGGGGGCATGTGGGGGCATGTGGGGGCACGTGTGTATGATATGAGTGCAAACAGGGCATGTAGGGAGTGCATCAGGAGAGTGGGGAAGTGTGATACAGAGAGTAGCAATTAGGGAGGGGTGGCGTGTGATAAAGGGAGTGTGATAGGGGAGTGGTGGAGTTTGATATAGGTAGGCAATGGGGGAGTGGTAGAGTGTGCATTGCGCATGCATGTGAGGGGGCGAAAACGCGTGCTACAGTCAGATCAAATGTATGCGGTCTGAGTGGAGGCCTGACGGACACAAGGCAGAGACAGAGAGGAGGCAGAGCCTGTTTTTGAGTCGATCCAAAAGTCATCTAGTAAACTCGTGCTACAGTCAGATCAAATGTATGCGGTCTGAGAGGAGGCCTGACACAAGGCAAGGCAGAGACAACTTTTAAGGCGCCTCAAAAGTCGTCCCTCTACCCGCAAAACGCGTGCTACAGCCAGGTCAAATGTATGCGGTCTGAGAGGAGGCCTGACACAAGGCAGAGACAGAGAGGTGGCAGAAAGGCACATACGTGGATGCGTGAGAGCGAGGAGGTGAGGGCGTGCACTCTCCTCTGCATGGCCGCAATGCGAGGTGCAGTTTAACACGACTAGACTCAACGCCCAAGGAAGAGAGGAAGAGAGGAGGAAGAGAGGACGAAAGGCACATACGTGGATGCGTGAGAGGGAGGAGGTGAGCGCGTGCACTCTCCTCTGCATGGCAGCAATGCGGGTGGTGCATGGCGGCATGACTGGCATGGGCAGCCCCTCCAGTATGCCATCCAGCTCTGATGGGGTTGGGGCAGGCAAGGTGAATAATAGGGTAGATAATGTAGATAGGTGGAGACAGGGTGAACGGGGTGCAGGAGAGGCAGCGATAGGGGTAGCAGCGCGAGTGGGGTAAGGGGGCATGACTTGCATGGGGTGGCCTTCCAGTATGCTGTCCATCTCGGTGGGGATTGTAGGGAAGATTATGCAAATAGCGTAGAAAAGGGAGTTGAGATAGGGTACACAGGGTAGATAGGTTGCAGGAGCAGCAGACTCTCCAGTACACCGTTCAGCCATGTGGGATGTGCAGGAGGTTGTTTTTGAGAATTCTCAAAAACAAGACAAAGAAGATAGAACTCAGTCCACACTACAACACACCCACACACCCATACAAGCACAGACCCACCCGCGCACCCACCCACCCACGAACCCGCCACCCAAGCACTCGCACACCCATGCACCCACACACCCACGCACTCACACACCCTGCCGCACACTCACACACGCACTCACGCACACACGCACCCATACAACCACACACCAACCCACCAGCTGCCAGCTCCCCAAGAGCCGTGTCTAGCCTCTCCTGGCTGTGGGAATGGTTGCATCAGTGCCCGCCATCAGTGACATAGACCCATACACCCACACCCACCCACCGCCCCCACAAACCCGCACACCCACCCACCCCACCCACCCACCCACCAGCCGCCAGTCTCCCAAGGGCCGCGTCCAGCCTCTCCTGGCTGTGCAGAGCGGCTGCCACGTGGCCTCCACACGCCTGCACTGCTGCCCCCACGCCTGCTGCCACGTGGCCTCCACGTGGCTGCTCCGCCATCCCGCCCACACCTGCTGCCATCGTTGCTGCCCGATCACCTTGCTGCTTTTCCCTCAGCTGCCCCTGCTGCCCCTGCTGCTCCAGTTGGCCTTTTTGCTCCTGTTTCTCCTGTTTCTCTTTCACCTTTTGCTCCTGTTCCTGTTCCTGTTCCTGTTGCTGCTGTTGCTGCTGTTGCTGCTGCATCTGCTGTTGCTGCTGCCGCTGGTTGCTATGAGAAGGCATTCCTTCGCCTACTCTCATATCTTCCCCCCTCGACCTCCGTTCCTCCCCTCCCTCCTCACCTTCATTCCCCCCTCCCCGGTTCCCACTTCCCTCAGCCTCCCCACTCCCCATTGCCTCCTCTCCGCTATCCCCCCTTCCTTTGAATCCACCATCCTCTTCCCCCCTTGGCCTCCGTTCCTCTCCTCCATCCTCATCTCCATTCCCCCCTTCCCGGTTCCCACTTCCCTCACCTTCATCCCCCCCTCCTCGGTTCCCACTACTCCCACGCTCCCCGCTCTCCCTTCCCTCCTCTCCTCTACCCCCCCCTCCCTCGCCTCGTCTACCCTCATTCCCGCTAAGAAGTCCCAATGAATTCAATCCACCTGAACCTCCCACCATTGCGACAGATTCTTGCTAGCTCTAAGGAAACGACATCAATTTACTTGGACTTCTTGTCAACGCCATTGCTGCTTCTTACGACCCAGCTCAAAAGAGATAACTCAGCGCACTAAGCTCATAACGAGGTGCTTGTAGCGAGGAAAGAAATGGAGAGATTTTCAGAATCAAGTCGAGACGACAGCACGTTCACGAAGCAGTAAAAAACGCGATATAGGCACAATTCAGTGAGGTTTTTTTGAAGGCGAGTCAGGCGACGCAGAAGCGACTCAAAAGCGAACTACAAATAAAAGGACGGTGGGTCCTATAACGAGGGTGGGCGAGGGAGCGCTAGCGGAAAGAAACTTCGAAATAAACACTGCTGCTCCGCTCCAACGGTAATATCGCGATTCGTGTCGCCACAGGTGGAGGTTGGTGCGGAAACAAGCTCCGTCTGGCGGAAATTGAGCCTCCTGTCGGTTCAGTGAGATGATCCGTGGTGAAGTGAGTATTGCGAGTTTAGCAAGCGAAACAGCCTTTCGCGAGCTCTTCTGTGAGGCGAAATCGAACGAATCAGTCCACGTCGCAGAATGCGGGCGAGTTTCGCCCAACCCCCCAGTTTCTCGAGATTGGATGGGGCAGCGGCGAACGGCGGAAAAACAAATGCAAGTACAACTGGTAACCGGCACCTCCTCCAAACTGACTACTGTAGACGAATGTGTGCTTCAAAACCCATCATTTCAGCTCAACCCTTCACCGTATCATTTGAGTAATTTCACCGATCCTAACCGTACCACCACTAGGTCTAGCCTTGGGTCGGTCGAAGCTAGCGCAGCTGCATTTGTGCCCTAACGTTTTGCCAACCAGCTGCTGACCGTCGGCCGTCTACTATCGTCTGTAGCCGGCAAGCCGTTACTCGGCCAACAGCCGAAAATGTCGAGCGATCCAGGGGATATAGATCGGTGGAGAGAGGTGGAAGCCGTGCTGCAGGAGTTTCAGCAGCACGGGCAGCAGGACGGGCAGAAATCCGGGCAGCAACAATTTTTGCAGCAACAGGGGCAGGCATTCGGGCAGCAACCATACGGGGCTCCGCAGTTTGCGCAGCACCAGGGGGCGCACCAGCATCCGCAAGTGCCGCTGCCTCCGCCGCCGCAGCAACTGCTGCAACCGCCGCCGCCGCAGCAACTGCTGCAACCGCCGCCGCCGCAGCAGCTTCAGCAGCAGTCGCATCCGCAGCCGTCGCAGCCGCCACCGCAACAGCCGCGTATGCAAGAGCATCAGCAGCAGTCGCAGCAACTGCATCCGCAGCACGTGAGGGACGCTGCGGCGGAACCCCGTGGCGGATGGGGGACGGCGGGGGGCGGTGGAAGGGGGAGAGGCGGAGGACGCGGGGATCGCGGGAGAGGCGGGGGGAAGGAGGGGCGGGGGTGGGGCAGGGGGCAGGGGGAATGGGCGAGAGGCGGGATGCATGGTAGCATGGGTGGTGGCAGTACTGGTGATGGTGGGGGAAGAGGAAGAGGCGGCGGAGGTGGGGGGAGGGGAGGATTGGCCGCAGCAGCCGCAGCAGTAGCAGCAGCAGAGGAAGCAGCAGCAGCGCCCCGGGGGATTAAATTGGAAGGAACAAGGGCGGGAGAAATGAGAGTGGGAGACATGAAAGCAGGGGAGACGAGAGCGGGAGAGGTGAGAGAACCGAGGAGCACAGGGAGTGACTATAGCGAGTTGCTGACAGTGGCACGGCAGCAGCAGCAGCAGCAGCAGCAGCAGCAGGGGTTGCAAGCAGGGGCGGAGGAGGGTGGTGCGGCAGTGGAGGGAGTGTGGGAGCTTGGAAGACAAGGCAGCTCGACCGTTGCTAAAGAAGGTAAGCCAAGTTATTTGTCAATGAGGGATGGAAGTAGGTGTGCAGGAGGTGTGGAGGAGGGAGGGGCGGCAGTGGAGGGAGTGTGGGAGCCTGGGGGACAAGGCAGCTCGACAAGTGGCAGTTCAGTGGGTGCTAAAGAAGGTAAGCAGAGTCAATAAGCAACGAGGGTGCAAGCAGGGGTGGAGGAGGGAGGGGCAGCGGTGGAGGGAGTGTAGGAGCCTGGGGGAGGTGGCAACTCGACTGGTGCTAAAGAAGGGAAGCATAGTTAGTAAGCAAAGCGGGTGCAAGCAGGGGCTGCAAGCAGGGGCGGAGGAGGGAGGGACAGCAGTGGAGGGAGTGTGGACGCCTGGGGGAGGTGGCAGCTCCACAGGTGGCAGTGCAATGGGTGCTAAAGAAGGTACGTGAGAGGGAGAGGCTAATGAGGGAGGGGCAGTGGAGGGAGTGTGGGAGCCTGGGGGACAAGGCAGCTCGACAGGTGGCAATTCAGTGGGTGCTAAAGAAAGTAAGCAAAGGCAGTAGGCAAAGAGGGTGCAAGCAGGGGTGGAAAAGGGAGCGGCGGCAGTGGAGGGAGTGTGGGAGCCTGGGGGACAAGGCAGCTCGACAAGTGGCAGTTCAATGAGTGCGAAAGAAGGTACGTGAAAGGGAGAGGCAAGTGTGGGGCGGCGGTGGAGGGAGTGTGGAGCCTGGGGGGAGGTGGCAACTCGACAGGTGAGAACGACGGTAAGCCAAGTCGACAGGCAAAGGGATGGGATGTGAGAGGGAGAACGAGGGAGGGGCAGCAGTGGAGGGGCGTTGGATCCTAGTAGGGGGGAGGGGAGATGGTAGGGTGTGTGACGTGATACCCTCGAACCCTCCCTTTTTCTCTGTCCTTCCCCCAATCCATCCCCACACCCCTTCTCCCCTTCCCCCTCGCTCTCTATCTCCTCGGAGGTGTTTGTTTGTTTGTTTGTTTGTTTGTTTGTTTGTTTGTTTGTTTGTTTGTTGTTTTTTTGTTTGTTTTTTTTTGCTTTTGAGTCGAGTAGCCCCCCTTTCGCTCTCGCTCTCTATTTCCTCGTATGTGTTTTTTTAGTATACTAAGAAAACGCATCCCCCTGCCACCAGTCACCCCCTACAAGTTCTCTTGAACCCTCCCTTTTTCCCATCATGCTCTCTACAATCTCCCCACGATTCGTCCGAGTATGCTTTTGAGTCGACTCAAAAGCAAAATCCTCGAACCCGCCCTTTTTTCCATCGTGCTCCCTACAATCTCCCCACGACATGTCCGAGCATGATGGAAAGAAGGGAGGGTTTGAGGGTATTCACCAGACCAGCCACATTCCGACCTCTTTCCTCTCTCCCTCCCTCCCACCCGGCTCCCCTCGCGCTCTACCTCCCCATCACCAGTCTCCGCCTTCTTCCCATCAGGCTCTCTACAATCTCTCCACGTCCCCTCTGAGTATGATGGAAAGAAGGGAGGGTTCGAGGGTATTCACCAGACCAGCCAGATTCCCGCGCTCTACCTCCCCATCACCAGTCTCCGCCTTCTTCCCATCAGGCTCTCTACAATCTCTCCACGTTCCCTCTGAGTATGATGGAAAGAAGGGAGGGTTCGAGGGTATTCACCAGACCAGCCGGATTCCCGCGCTCTACCTCCCCATCACCAGTCTCCGCCTTCTTCCCATCAGGCTCTCTACAATCTCTCCACGTTCCCTCTGAGTATTCTATTCACCAGACCGAATTCCCACCTGTTCTCTCTCTCCCTCCATCCTACCCCGCCTCCCGCACCCCCTCTCTCTCCCTCCCGCCTGCACCCCCCGGCCTCCTCTCGCCCTGCCACGTTACCAACCAGTCTCCCCTTTCTTCCCCTCGGGCTCGCTGCAATTCCTCCAAGACCCCCTCTGGGCATTCGCCAAGCCAACTTCCTTTCTATTCCCCACCTCCTTGCCCCTCCTTCCTCTCACTCCTTGCCACCAGTCTCCCCTTTCTTCCCCTCGGGCTCGCTGCAATTCCTCCAAGACCCTCTCTGGGCTTTCACCAATCCAACTTCCTTCTATTACCACCTCCCACTTCCCTCCTTGCCCCTCTCTCCTCTCACTCCTTGCCACCAGTCTCCCCTTTCTTCCCCTCGGGCTCGCTGCAATTCCTCCAAGACCCCCTCTGGGCATTCGCCAAGCCTTCTGCTGCTGCACCGTCCCTGTCAACTGCGAATGAGGTGAGAGCGGACCAGATTGAACAGTGTAGTGTGGTGTGGTGTGGTCTGGCGTGGTGCGGTGTGGTGTGGTGTGGTGTGGTGTGGTGTGGTGTGGTGTGGTGTGGTGTGGTGTGGTGTGGTGTGGTGTGGTGTGGTGTGGCGCCTTGGCCAACCTCCTGCTGCTGGCCTTAACCAGAAACCTAACACCCTAAATATCCTAAGGCCCCAAACCCTAAGACCCTATTACGTCCTTTCCTTCCCTGTTGTTTCCCCCTCACAACTCTCCCCGGAGCAGCGTCTCCGGTTTGGCTCAGAGGCATTGGAGAAACACCTGCAGGCTGTGCCGCTGCTGGTTAGGGCGCCTGAACGTCAATCCCCTTATACACCTCAACATCAATCCCCTTTTACATTCCCTCGTTCCCTTCCTTGTCCCCCTCCCCTTCCCCTTCACAGCTCTCCCCGGAGAACCTCCTGCAGTTCGACCCAGAGGCGTGGAGAATCACCTGCAGTGCTGCAAGGCCACCCTTCAACACCCCACTAACTTCCGTTCTCCTTGCCCCATGTCCCCTTCCCTGCTGTTTTCTCCCCTCTCCGTTTCTTCTGCAGCTCTCCCCGGAGCAGCTCCTCCAGTTCGACCCAGAGGCGTTGGAGAAACACCTGCCGGCTGTGTCGCTGTGTCCCTCCCTTGCTCCTTATTCTTGTGTGTTTGATTCTTGTCCTGTCCCTTTTTGCTCTCCCCCTTCACAGCTCTCCCCAGAGCACTTCCTCCAGTTCGACTCAGCGGCGCTGAAGAAACACCTGCAGGCTGTGCCACTGCTGGTTAGGGCCAAGATATCATTACATTGTTTTCCCCCTTTCCTGTCCCTCCCCCTTCGCAGCTCTCCCCAGAGCACCTCCTCCAGTTCGACTCAGACGCATTGGAGAAACACCTGCAGTCTCTGCCACTGCTGTTTCGTTGGGACCCTGAACCTCAATACATTTTTACGTTCCCTTGTCCCCTTCCCGGTCCCTCTCCTGTCCCCCCCTCGCAGCTCTCCCCAGAACAGCTCTCCAGTTCGACTCAGAGGCATTGGAAAAACACCTGCAGGCCGTGCTGCTGCTTGCCTCTTACCTTGTCCTCTTCCCTGTCCCACCCCCCCACCGCACAGCTCTCCCCAGAGCACCTCCTGCAGTTCGACCCAGACACATTGGAGAAGCAACTGCAGGCCGTGCCGCTGCCGTCACTGCTGCTGCTGTCCCCTAATGATCGAGCCACCTTCTTCCCACATGAGGTAACACACACACACACCCCTTGAGTTGTGTTGGTGTGCTCATCATAAGGCATGTCTGTTCTGCTACTGGCCCCCCGTGATCGAGCCACCTTCTTCCCACATGAGGTAACACTCCGTTCAATTCAAGCTACCCCTGAAGTTGCGTGTGTTCAGCACGTTGCATGCTCACCATAAGGCACGGCACATCGCTGCTGCTGCTGTCACCGCATGGGTTACCTCGTGGAGCCACCTTCTTCCCCCACGAGGTAACGCATCCCTTTCAACGCTGTTTTCTCACCCTGTTGGTATGTCCCTGCACACCAACATAAGGCATGTCCCTGCTGCTGCTGTCCCCCTTTGACCGAGCCACCTTCTTCCCCAATGAGGCAGGTAACATTCCTGTCTATGCTGTGTGCTGCTGACCATGTTCTTGTACTCAGCTCACCATACATGCTCTCCTCACAAACAATGAACGCTCTTTTATATCCGCTGTGCTCTCCCCTCCATCCCAACTCGTTTCCTATTCCCCATGCCCGTTCGTTTATCCCCATACTCGTTCCCCCTGCGCCGCTTGAATTCTTACCAACGGGAACAGCAATACTAACCAGAACAGGAAATCTCTTCCTCCTGTTCCCATTGTTGCCTGGACCCTGGGTGCTAGGCCACGGATGGGAGGGACTGGGTGGTAGTTGGCTCTTCAGTTATATTTCTGCTGCATCTCTTGAACACCAACAGGCGCAGCAGTCTCTCCCAACCAAGTCAGGACCCTGGCGTGCCACCATTGTTGCCTGGACCCTGGGTGATATGCCTCGAATGGGAGGGACTGGGTGGTGGTTGATTTCCTCTTTCCCCTCCGTGCCTTTAATTCCCACCAACAGGCTCAGCAGCAATCCCAACCAAGTCAGGAAATTTCCTCCTCCCTCTCCCACTGGTGGCTGGATCCCGGGTGCTATGCCACGGATGAGAGGGACTGGTGATTGTTGACTCTTCAGTTCTCTCCCCTCTGCATTCCCTGACTCCCTACCCTACGAACAGGCACAACAGCAGTCCCAACCCAGTCAGGAGATCTCCTCCTCCCACCTTTCCCACTGGTGGCTGGACCCTGAGTGCTATGCCACGGATGAGAGGGACTGGGTGGTGGTAGGGGAAGAGGAGGGGGGGAGTGGAGAGACAGGGTATAATCTGGGAGGGCAACATGGGGAGGAGAATGAGTTGCAGCAGCAACAGCAGCAGCAGAAACTGCAGCACGGGCAGGCACCTCAAAAGTCTTCGCTCCCATTAACACCACAGCCTGCAGCAGCCTCTGGACTCGCACCGAGCACACAGGAAGGTGCAGCAAAGCAGCAGCTAGAACAGCCGGGACAGCAGCAGCAGCAGCAGCAGCAGCAGCAGCAGCAGCAGCAGCAGCAGCAGCAGCAGCAACTGCAGCAACAGCAGGAGCCTGAAAAGTCATCGCTCCCATTAACACCACAGCCTGCAGCAGCCTCTGGACTCGCGCCGAGCACACAGGAGGGCACAGCAAGGCAGGAGATACAACACTCTGGGCAGCAAGCAGGAAGTAAGAATGATGCGCATGGGAATGTGCATGGGTATGCGCATGGGCTTGCAGGGGAAGATGATTTGGATGAGTTGCTGGGAGGACAGGTAGGAAGCAGCAGCGGTGCAACCAGAAAAGAGAATTGCCAGGCGAAGCAGCAAGCAGAAGCAGGGGCAGCAGCTCTTGTGAACGTGCATGGGCATGGGAATGTGCATGGGCTTGCAGGGGAAGACGATTTGGATGAGCTGCTGGGAGGGCAGGCAGGGAGCAGCAGCGGTGCAGGTGCAACCAAGGAAGAGGTCAAGGCAGCAGAGGGGAAGGCAGCAGCTGGTTCTGCTGTGCCCAGTGCAAGTGCAGCTCAAGTGAAGCCTGGGCTGAAGCCAGCAGCACCACAGGCACCAGCGCTAGATGACTTTGATGAATGGTTTGATTCTGTGACATAGGCAATATAATCATCAGAGATTCAGTGCTTTAGACCCTTTTTGGGCGTCTGTCTGTGGTATACTTTTTAAATAATGTCAATCATGTATAAATCAGTTCGCTTTAATGAATATATTCTGGCAATGCCTTTCATGTAAGTTTTTTCCATGTGTCTGCTGTGGTCATTACATAGGCGTCCTATAACGGGATTTTCTTATCTCCTCACCCCCGTCCCTCCTCTTCCCCCTCAAAACACTGGACGGTGCATGCGCGTCGGTTGTGAGTCGTGACCTTTCGGAACGCGATCCACCTAATACGGTAGCGGCTAGCCGTCAACGCTGCCGACAGGAGCGCGCACCAATCAGACACCAATCAGCGCACCATCAGAACGCGGAGCCGCCTATACCGAGCCTGGCATGGCGCGAATATTGACCATTCATGGGCCAATGAGGACGGCATTGATAGCTTTTTGAATCCCATTTAGTTACTCGACGGTCGAGGCTGAGATTCATCAATATGGTTCGGCGAACGTCACGATATGCACGAGCTGAAGACGTCTCGTTGGTGGTATATGGATCCGCTGGAAAATTATCGCAGGGAATCTTTGCGAAAGTATTTGCGGTCGCACAGCCGCGAGAGTTGTCGCAGGTCATCACGAGGCTGCGTGGGGTTGGTCTCGCGAATTCGCTAAGTCGGCACCGCGCCTCGTGGATGCCCGCAGCAGCTTCCCTTCCTTCCTTCCTCACGCCTAGCCCAGGACCCTTCGCCTCAGGAGCGTGGCCTCGCTCCTTTCTCCTCCTCTTCGTGCTTCCGAGAATTCTGAATGCCGATCGCTCCTTACCGCTCCTCGTTCCGATCCCCTAATGAGAATTCTGGAAATCATCCTGATCGCTCGCCACGCCAGGGCGTGTTGTCTTGTCACGCCTCTCCCTCCCGCCTCGTCGCGCCAGAACGTGTTCTCGCGCGGCGTTCACGCCTCTCCCTCCTCTATTGAGAATTCTGAAGAACGTGTTCCCGTGCCTGCCGCGAATCTCTAGAATTCCCAGAAGTGGAGGGGATTCACGACAGCTGAATTCTAGAGCTGTGTGACGCCGATCCCCTCCTCTTCTGGGAATTCTAGAGATTCGCGGCGGGGGGGTCTCACGCCTCTCCTCCTCTTTTGAGCCGATCCCCTTCTCTCGCGGCGTCCTCTCTCGCGGCGGGGCCTCATGCAAGGCCTCACGCCTCTCCCTCCTCAAAGGAATATAGATGGATGGGACTTTTTTACTTCCCGTGCCTGCCGCGCCCACGGATCAGCAAGCCGATCATGGACCATTCATGGTCCAATGAGGGTCGGAATCAGCAAGCCCATCACGCTCTCTCCATTCCAACCAAACCAGGAGCTCGTTTCCCTCCTCACTTTCCTCGCTCCGCACTCCTGTTTCCACCCGCTCCTTCCACCCCTGCTCTTCCCTTGCCCCCCTCTCCCCTCTCCACCTAGTACTTTAGTCCGCCATTTCTCCCTGCAACAGCAAGATCCCTTCGTTCTCCTCATAATCCCTGCCCCTCTACCCCTGCTGCGTGCCACCTCGCTCCTCTACTACTCCAGCTGCGTGCACTCCACCTCGTTCTCCTCTCGTTGCTCGAGCCCGATTCTGTTCAACTGAAGCCCAACCCAACAACCATGGTAATCCCTGCCCCTCTACTCCTGCGGCGTGCCTTTGTCACATTCATTGTCAAGCCTTCCTCGTATAAGTGTAGTCCATGCCCTTCTGTGGGGTTAGCCTGGCTCCTACCATCGCACACATCATGCCTTATCCATAATGAATCATCTCTCTTCTGTGCAAGAAAGGCGGGCTTTGCTTGGCGTCAATGGAAGCGTTAGCGCCAGTGGTGGTTGCTTCTATATTTGGCTGCATGTGATTTCTGAGAATTCTCAAAATCCACTTTCTGTTCTTGTCTAAGCGCGTGTCAAGCGTCTGATAATTTCATGGTGCGTTGCTTCGAGCACTAAAGCTCTGCAAGTTGTCAGCCACGAGTGCGATGCTGCATGGCGAATGTCCGGTAGATGGTTGCTTTCGCCATTGCAAAAACTAGCCGAGTTTGCCAGTTTCTTTGTGTTTCCTCACATGTTTTACTTTAGGCATGATTGCTGCAGCCTACACTCGATATCCACGTTGCAGTGAACTCTTATCGTTGCTCCTGTTCCCCCAACTCTCTCGCGTGCATGTGCCACCTAACCTCCCAGCCCACAGGCAGAGCCACACGTCATCGTATCAACCTTCTACACGTTCCATACACGCACGTGGCTCGTTTGCCTTTCAGGAGACTGTTTTCTTCCCTTCAGCATGTTCCTTATGCAAACACTGCCTATCGGCTTCTGATGGTATGTGAATGCGAAACTGCGTAATATTTTTTTTGGCAGCTGTCGATTCTTCCCTGTTACTCATTCGCTTGATTGTAACGACATTTGAAAATGCAGCAGAGTGGGTCACCTGAATTTTTATGGCGGTGCAGCTTGGCTGAAAATGAACTCACATTCTTCTGTTGCTGCATCCTTTGGCTGTTTGTTTTTTCATAATTCAGTCTCTCCCCTTGGTGCATGGCTCGAAGATTCTTTCTTACTGCTTAGAAGCTCATTTCTGCACGATTGGGGGTTTTCCAGCTCCATGGCACGTTTCCTGTGTTTTGAGTTGGGTATGTGTAGGCCACGCCACTCTACCAACTATAAAGCTTTGATATTGACCTCCTAATCTCTGTTCTCAAATTGCATTTGAGTTTCCAGGTGTCCCTCGCACAAAAGCTTCCAACTCTTTGTCGTTGTTGTTGCTGCTCTTTCTGTTGCTCGTCCTCTTGCTCTGCCGCTTTCTCCTCCACCTCTGTCTCTACCGTCTCTTGCTCTTTCGGCTGGTGCTCTCATTGCTGTCATCACCTTTTCTTATTTTATTTTTCGTTCAACTAAAACGTCTCCCACCCTCTATTTCCAAACTCCCCTTTGGTTCCCCAGGTGACCATGCTGTGCATAGTCGGCACTGCTCTCTGTGCTCTACTCCCGTGGGCCCGCACGTCTCTCATGCAAGTGACGGCCAACTTTCGCCAGCGACTCAGAAGGAGGCAGGCAGCGAAAGAGGTCAACGCAGGGAGGGGAAGGAACGTGGGTGGGTTGACTGGGCGAGGGGTGAATAGAGAGGTGGGGAGGAGCAGGGAGGAGTGGAGGAGTAATATGCACAAGCTGAAGAATGAGCAGAATTGTGAGTAGAAGGGTGAGTTGAAAACTGAGGTAATAAATGAGTAGAAGGGTGAGTTGAAGTATCTATCAGCTGGCATTTGTGCTGGTGTAGAGGAGAAGGAGAGGGTAGTGGGAGCAGTGGAGCAAGCAGAGGAGTACAGGCCGCCATGTCTCCCAAGTCCCAAGGCATGACTGGAATCTGGGATGGCTTGCACTGGAAGTAGGTACTTTGTGGAAAGGGGTAGAGGAGGAGAGGGTAGTGGGAGCAGTGGAGCAAGCAGAGGAGTAAAGACCACCATGCCTCCCAACTCCCAAGCCATGACAGGATTGCTTGCAACTAGTACTTTGTGGAAAGGGCAAGGGACGGAAGTGAGACTCCCAGGGCGCACCCAAGCCCGCCGTGTCTCTTGACCCGACGACACACACAGGGCGGGCACGCAGCGCAGCGCAGGCGACAACATGACGTGCAGCTCATCGTTTTTTGTTGGTTGTCTGATATTTTTTTTGTAGGATATTTGGGGGGAAGGAAGTTGAATCTATGGGTATTGCTAGCGAGATGATATGAACTCTTTTGCAGGTAGGTTTAGCGGGTGTACATATTCAACTCATCCTACCGTATGGTGGCTTATATTTGGTCAGGAAACTGATTCCGCAACCCATCTGCCGTCATGACTTCCGCCCGACTCATCAAGGCATAACTAGATAGTTGGCTTCCTAGTTGGCGCTGATCAATGGCTATGATGGAAGTTTTATACATAGGGAATGTAGTTTCTTGAAACTCTGCTCTGTATACATATCCTAGGCGCCTTGTAACGGGTTCGTCCAAGTCGGGCTTTTTGGTGCTGCGCTGTAGCTTCACTCCGCCTCCTCTCCTCTCCTCTCCTCTCCTCCCCACGCCCATACAGAATTGGACCTTGCATGCGCGGCATCACGTTCGCCGAATAATCGCCGGTCGCGGCATCGCGTCTCGTTAGAATTGTTCATCCTAAAAAAATGCAGAAATCGTACGGTTGTCATTATTCCTGGAGCGTGAGCTCTCTGGTAATGTACAAGGTAGCGGAGGGAGAGCCGCCTAGGCGTGAGCTCTCTTTGAACGCCATGTTGAGATGAGCAATGACCCTGCAGCCATGCCCTCTTGTGAGCGCTACTAGCCGTCGAAGCAGCCGACACGGGTGCGCACCAATCAGATTGCGAAATGCCACATATACCGAGCCTGACATGCTCCCGCTCGGTCACACGGTGCGAGCTCGAGAGCTCAAGTTACTGTCAAACATTATATGGGTTACTCTATTGTAGGCTACAGTGGGTTAGCCTTTAGGGGGTTCACAATTCTAGGGTTTCATATTTGTACCCTCACTTGTTTCTAGTCAACAACACTTCTCTTTCTTAACATGGTATTAAGAGCTTAGGTTCTAGACCTAGGACTCACCTAAGGGCCCACCGTTAGAAGCGCCCTCGAGCGCCATATCGACCTAGCGCCCTCGAGCGCCTTTCTCCTAGTGCGCCCTCGTGCGCCTCGTCTTCTCCTACTGCCCGTGCGCGGCTCGCCAGTGCCGTGCGCGGCCCTTTTTTTTTTTTTTTTTTTTTTTTTTTTTTTTTTTTTTTTTTTTTTTTTTTTTTTTTTTTTTTTTTTTTTTTTTTTTTTTTTTTTTTTTATCGCGCGCGTCGCCCCCTAGCAGCCCGCGCGCGGCCGTTTCTTCGCGCGCGCCGCCCGTTAGCCGCCCGAGCCGCCACGAGCAGCCCACTAGCCGCCCGTCGACCGGCCCTCCTGGCCGCGCGTAGCCCGCTAGCGACCGGCAGCTCCGCCCGTAGGCC